AAACTTCAGAACACAAAGGAGTGCTATCCTTCACACCTCCTGCCAGCCTGTCTTTTATTACTGATATCTACTAACTGGGCAGGTGTAATTTTAAAATGCATTGGTAAACTTTTTTTTTTTTTTTTGAGACAGTGTCACTCTGTCACCCAGGCTGGAGTGCAGTGGCACAATCTCAGCTCACTGCAACTTCTGTCTACTGGGTGGAAGCAATTCTCCTTTCTCAGCCTCCTGAGTAGTTGGGATTACAGGCATGCGCTGCCACACCTGGCTAATTTTGTATTTTTAGTAGAGATGGTATTTCTCCATGTTGGTCAGGCTGGTCTGGAACTCCCGACCTAAGGTGGTCCACCTGCGTCAGCCTCCCAAAGTGCTGGGATTGCAGGCATGAGCCACTGTGCCCGGCTCATTGGTAAACTTTTCTAGGACTGCTTCCCATGGGGGTGGGGAGATCACAGAATGGGGTTGTTAGACTCAGCGCTGTGGAAGCAACAAGGATCTGCCCTGCATGTCAAGTTCTTACACAGTGTTTGCCACCTAGCAGATACTCAGGGATGAGTTCTTGAACGAAGGGACTGAGGAATGAATGAATCTCCATGCCAATCACAAAGAAGAGAAATCTGAGAGTGAGCCTGGGGGGTGTCTGAGAACCAGGAGTATTTAGATCTAAGCCTTGACACAGTCTGCTTAGATTTTCTTGCTAAGGAAAGAGGAGGGGTCAAGGAGTAAAGGAAAAACAACAAAACCCCAAAGCATCTTAAAGTGCTCAGAGTTCCTGGGACAAGCTGTGGACTATTAATTGCAAGGGAAAAAAATCACAACAGACAATGGGTTTAAATGATCCCTACTTAGAAATATACCTTATGGTTTGCAGAATGACCTTGGAATTATATTGTCACCAGTCTTTCCAAATACTGAGAAATGTGACTTAGTAACAAAAGTCATCAGCCTGGGAAACATGGTGAAAACCCCTCTCTACAAATACAAAAAATTAGCCGATGTGGTGGTGCATGCCTGTAGTCCCAGCTACTAGGGAGGCTGAGGCAGGAGGATGGCTTGAGCCTGGGAGATTGAGGCTGCAGTGAGCCGTGAAACCAAGAATTCTGATTCTACTTGTGTGAGTTTCATTGTGTTTGTCTACCAGGTCATTTGCAGAGCAGAGAGACCTCCTTCTTCCTGCTTTTTAATTTATTTTCTATAACATACACAAATACACGATATCCACAAAGAAGGCAGTCAACCAATTTCTAACATCTGGATGTACCTGAGAAGAAATTCTGAGCAGATGTATACTTGAGAATTGAGAGACGCATGAAAGAATATTATTTCAAAGATGAGGGGGAATTGGAACTGGATGACATTTTAGAGATTTGCCCTTATTTTTTCCTAATTGAAGCATATCACTTCCGTTAGGCTCATATTTAGAAACTGTTAAATGAGTGAGTGTATTAAGTCTCCAGGGTTTCCTGACTCTCAGTTGGATTATGTTTTTTATTAGATTCCAGTGGCACTGGGCATGTTACTTTAATCCATATTTAAACTAGGGTGACCTTACGTTCTGATTTGCCCTGGATGGTCCTGGGTTATACCTGTTGTCCCAGCAGAATTATTAATAGCGGCCTCCTCCACTGCCAATAGCATTCTGGTTTGCAATATTAAATTCTACAGTCACTCCAACTTTGACTCCTAAAAGGTTTCCAGAATATGCCGTACTTTCTCATTCATTGTTGCAACTTATGGCTATTTTATTGATTTTTGAGACCCATCTTTCTTTCCATTGGAATTTAAGCATCCTTTGAACTTTAGAAGGCTCCTCACAGAAGTGGAAAGCCATCTACATAAAGACAACTGTTATTCATTAATAACATGTATTGGTTAATTAACATGTTGCTAATTAATAATTCTATTATTCGAGTTATATTCCTGTTTATCAAGGATATTAATTAAATTACATGTTAAGTATGCAATGAATGTCAATGGTTGAAAAGCACATACCTTCATAGCCAAAGAGAAGTAATAACAAAAAGCCTCCTATCTTGCGCGGCATCTTCCCGTCGTCCTCAGCTGAAGCTCTACCTTCCTGAACTGGAGAGCTGGGCCAGGAGCAGGGGATTAAGTTGAGCCCTGGCCTCGTTAAGCATCTTACTCCATTTAGTTCTTAGGTCTTGGGCTGAGCCCCATCAAGTTAACCCACAGAGTTACCTGCCTCAACAAGAAAGTCTCATGGAAGATACTAGCATCAACTGAGATTGGGTTTGTGAGGAAGATACTTTTCATTCATTTTTTTTTTTTTTCTGAGATGGAGTTTCACTCTTGTCACTCAGGCTGGAGTGCAATGGTGCAATCTCGGCTCACTGCAACCTCTGCCTCCCGGGTTCAATCTAGTCTCCTGCCTTAGCCTCCTGAGTAGCTGGGATTACAGGCACCTGCCACCCTGCCTGGCTAATTTTTGTATGTTTAGTAGAGATGGGGTTTCGTCTTGTTGGCCAGGCTGGTCTCGAACTCCTGACCTCAGGTCATCCACCCGCCTCAGCCTCCCAAAGTACTGGATTACAGGCGTGAGCTACCGCGCTTGGCCCATACTGTTTTCATTCTATCTTTAATGTAAGGGAAGCAACGGAGGGAGAGAGGAACTAGAACCAGAAGTCTCAGGTCTTCATCCTTTCTTCGCCATCATCTTCTAGGGGGCAACCTTGAACAATTTCCTGCCAAATAAGCATTAGCATTCTCAAATTGTATGAAAATGTCATGGATTCCCCTCTTTGAAAGCAACTAGGCATCATGTGCACACCTATTCACTCAGGAAAAGGCTAAATTTGGTGGTGGGAGGACAGTTACACAAAGCTGTGCATTGCTACTTATAACAACAAATTGGAAACTATCTAAATGGCCAGGGTTAGGGGCTGGGTAAGTCGGAGATGAATGCAGCCAGTAGGGTTAAGAGCACAGACTGCCAACCCAGACTGGGGGCAAACTGCAGCACCAGCACTTTACATTGTGACCTCAGGGCAAGTTATTAACATCTCTGTGCCTCAATTTTCTCCTCTGTAAGATGACGATAATAATGTCTACTTTTTTTTTTTTTTTTTTTGACGGAATCTCACTCTGTCGCCCAGGCTGGAGTGCAATGGTGCGGTCTTGGCTCGTTGCAACCTCCAGCCCCTTGGTTCAAGCGATTGTCCTGCCTCAGCCTCCCGAGTAGCTGAGACTACAGGCGCTTGCCACCATGCTGGCTAATTGTTTTGTATTTTTAGTAGAGACAGCATTTCACCGTGTTAGCCAGGATGGTCTCGATCTCTTGACCTCGTAATCCACCCATCTCGGCCTCCCAAAGTGCTGGGATTACAGGCGTGAGCCATTGTGCCCGGCAATAATACCTACTTTCTAGAGTTATTTTGAGGCTTTCATGAGATCATATATACAAAATACTTAGCACAGTGCTAGACATAGTTAGCTATTATTTTTACATCACCATTCAGAATAAAGTTGATAGGAGGAAAAGGGGATTTGTTTAATAGGTATAGAGTTTGAGTTTTGTAAGATGAAAAAGTTCTGGAGATCTGTCTCACAACAACGTGAATATACTTCACACTACTGAACTGTATACTTAAAAATGATTAAGGCGGGCTGGGCGCAGTGGCTCATGCCTGGAATCCCAGCACTTTGGGAAGCCGAGGCAGGCAGATCACTTGAGGTCAGGAGTTTGAGACCAGTCGGGTAACATGGTGAAACCTCATCACTACCCAAAATACAAAAATTAGCTGGGTGTGGTGGCAAGTGCCTGTAATCCCAGCTACTTGGGA